TGTCTAATTTTCTATTTGTTTTGTTTTTAATTGCATTTGTGTATCTAACTTTATTTTTCTTTTTGTTATGTTTTCTTTTTTTTTTTTTGTGTTAGTATTTTTATCTTCTAACTATTCTTCTATATTCTGTATCTGAGAATTATTTCCTATTTCTTTATATCTTTTATTTATAACCTGACTGGTTCTGTTTTAGCTTTTCTTTTCTTTTGCAGTAGTATTTCTATCTTCTAACTATTCTACTATGTTTTGTATTTGCAGATTACTTTTTATTTCTGTATATTTTCTGTTTGAGCTTTGGCTAGTTTTTTCTTAGCTTCTTTCTTTTCTTTCTTTAAAGAATTCTTTTTTTTTAATTTCTGTTTTTCTTTTATTTAATTATGATACTTAAAGGTTGTTATATCTGATTAGTCTTGATTGAGATGCCTTCATTGCTCTTTCTATTGCAAATGTAATTATTGCTGTTCTTCTTTGATTCACATTTCTGTTTAGTGAGATATAAACTGATTTTGCATTTTTGCTTCTTAGACAGCATAATAGTAAAACTTCTGAAGCATTGCTTGGCAGTTCTGTTAACTTTGTTATATACTAACTTTGCTTTTGTTTTGCTTTATAGTTTTTTTCATTTTTTGTTATTCTTACTAGTTTGTTACTATTAACTGATATAGATCATAAAATAACTCCTCTTGATTTTTCTATCTGAACAATTGCAAGAGATTTGTATTTGAATCTCTTAATTTTTGCTATGTGCATTTTTTTAAATCTTTTGCAGATATATTTGAGCTCTTTTCTTTTATATCTGCTTGTAACTTCCAGATTGTTATATATTTTAAGTTCTGTGTTTTCTTTTCATTAATATTTATTTAATCTTTATTTGGTTCTTTTAAATTCTCTTCCTACTCATATACCTTCTTGGCATTTGGTATATTGTTTCTTTCTTTTTTGTATTCTTTATCATATATATATTTTTTGTTTCTCTTTTTTGATTATTTTCCAGAAAGAAAAAAAAAGAAAGCAAGAAACAAAAAGAAAAATCAATATATTAGAAGTACCTTTTGAAGAAAGCATATAGGCACCTAGCAAGAGAAGTTGTAGTCAAAACAACAGTTTTTTTGCAAACATATCAGCACATAATGTACTTGAAAAGACTAAAGAAGAATATACAAACTTCATTAAATAGTACTAAAAAACAATGAATATATCAAAGATATCAAAAAAGTCTTTAAAAGAGAAAATCTATAGATAAAGATAGACTTTAACTATGAATATAGTAGAAATAAGCCAATATAAAGAATCAGCAAAAAAGAAAGTGATTGGTATAAAATGATTGCAAAAGAAAAGTTTTTTTTGCTATTAATTTCTGTCTTAATTCTTTTTTATTTATTTCTACATCTTCATGTTTTTGTCTTCTTGTCTGTTTTTCTTTTTTCTTCCTTTGAGTAAATAATTCTATTTCTACTTAACTATTATATATTTGTCTTACCTTTATATTTACTTTATTTTTTTCAGTTTTAATACTTGCTTGTAACCTCTCACTGGGTTTTTCATCTTTTATTTTTTTTTTTGTCTCTTCATTAGACTCTTCTTGTTTTCTTATTTTAGTTGTTTGCTGTTGTTTCTCTTTTCATCAAATCAAGCTTTTTTTCTGGTTGCTCTCTTTTTGTTTTTTTACTATTTCTTTTGTTATTTGCAAAAGAGCCACTTTGTTTGAATCTTGTTTTGTAAGTGATGCAACAATATTGTTCTTTCTATTGGATATTACATATGTTTTGCTTATTTTATTAAAAAAGATTTTATTATACATATTGTTCATTGCCTAATATGCTTTTTTTGTAAAAATTGCATTAAGGCTTTTTTTATATTCTTTTAGCAAACTTTTATTCATATTATGTAGTTGTTTTCTATATATTTTAAATCATATATTCTATCTGAATTAGACTCATTCTATTGTGTAACTCAAAAAATCTACAAAACTGGATTATAGCAATTTTCTAATTTTTACAAAATTTTTTTATTTTTTATCAAAAGTGCTTTTTTTTCTACTATTACTATATATTTCTTTTTGTGTCTTTGCTATTCAACTAAGTTTAACTTTTGCTGTTCTCTTTTATTTATTAGAGGTCAAAGTCTTGTTTTCTAATATAATTCTTGAATTTTTTAATGTTTTGCTTCTAAACAATTTTGGTAAAAGATCTACAAAAGAAAGTTGTATTTAATATATGTATTATATTTTGGTTTGCTTTTTTGTGTTTAGTTTTTTTATTATTATTTTTTTTATTTAGTAATAATATCAAGTAAAAACTTTAAGTATTAGTATATTTGTATATATAATTTAAAACTAATAGGTGTGGTGACCTAGTGAAGTAGATAGGTTGTTAACCTCCAAGTGGCAGGTCTAGAGTTCAAATCCCAGTAATGGTGAAAATTTGCAATTCTTTTTGTATTATAGTTAATTGTCTTCTGTAATTGGTTGAGATAAGACACCTGTAACCTGTGTCATATTAGCATAACTGGAAAGTTTAGGCATTCATGCTATGTTGTATGAAAAAACACAAACTGGTACTGGGTAGTGTGAACTTAAGATAAGTTCTTAGGCTGTGTAAATCATGGGAACTAGGTAGGAAGATAGTAGCCCACTTGAAAGACCTGAGTAGAGAGGTAAACCAAACTTTTGACAGTGCTATTGTAAAGACTAGACCTATGAAATGAAGCAAAAACTTGTAAAACTGGGCAAAGAGCTGGCCTTTGAGAAGGGGCCAAATGGAACCAACCAGGCCATCAGAATTTCCAGGTTCCAGAGAAAAAGGTTACATGCTGGCAAACATGTAAACCAGAGGTGTATGGTTATGACCTGCCTTTTCAGGCTATCTGGTTTGGGAGCTTGGTGGAACTTGAATTGAATACCAAAGTAGTAGGAATATATTGTGAAGTTAGTACTGGGGTTGAAGTGAACTCTACAAGGGCATAGTAGTTAAATGGTACGTCCTGACCACCAGTATTGGTCTCAGCCATAGCGATACCAGGTTAGTTGTAAGAATGTGATACAGAAGATTCTGGAAGGTTTAGTACAAGGTCAAAAGTTCTCTATATAAGTGAACTGCTTTAAAGACTTAGTGACCATGGCATATTTGCACTAGTATCGACCAGGGCATCTTGGTAGATATAGGTAGATGGGTGGATACAGAAATGGAGTAATTAAATAGGAAACTTACAAGTAGGTTCCAGGTATGGCAGCTAGTGTAGAACCTTCAGGTGGATTACTTAAATTAGACAATAACTAAAGTTGTACAAGTGGCTAGTTGTACACTCTTTCTATGATTGCCCCTTGTGGTTGTAATGCAACTATTAGCTGAATGTACTATCAATAAAATCCTGAATCACAAGTACTCATCTTAATATTTAAAAAAAAATAATTTAAAACTAATATATATTTTTAATTACAATATATTAAAACATGATATTAAAAAAACTCTTTTCAGTTTACATCCAGAAACATAGAAAAAACAAAATTAATATATACAACACAACAGTTTACTTTAAAAACTCCAGTGGGCCCAAGGCCCTGATACCCAAAAAACAAAAACTAACTATGAACAGAATACAATACAAAAAGCCTAGGACAGATCACAGCAAAGAAAGAGTCTTTAGCTTTGCAAAAGCAGAAAATAATCAAAGCAAAATTACAAAAAATGACAGTCAGAAAAAAAACACTGAACAAACTTAACAACATGTTAGAATTAAAAGCTGAGGAACATATAGCAGACTGGGCTAGTCACATAGAAAAAGAAATAGAAATAGAAGCCAAAGATAGTATCAAAACTGCAGAAACTTCTTCAAGCTGACAAAAAAATAAGCAACTATCAATATCAAAAGCAGTGAAAAAATTCAACAATAAACAGGACAACAAATATGCAACAAAGAAAAACAAACAAAAATACAAAAATGTCAGTAGCAACAAACACATGTTAAGCAACAACAAACAAGAACACATGAATACAGAGAATGTTATGCCATATGAACAAAACAGTGTTGACCAATCATCAAACACAACAATAAATGAACAGGTTAGCCAACCTAAAAAGGAACTAGATACAAGTGTAAAAGAAACACAAAATAGAGGCACAAGACCAAAGCAATAGTCTGATCTATTTACAAAGTTTAAGAGAGGAAGAGCAACTTTTTCAAACTCATCACTCAGACATTGTATTTACTCAAAAAATGAAAATGCACTAATAGTAGATATATCTAGTCTCAATAATATATCTACTAATGATATTATCATAGTCTTACTGCTAGTCTGTAAGAAGACTTAGTAGCAACCAAAGTACATACATCAAGAGGCAAAAGAACATCTCTAAAAATAATTTTTAAAGACAAAAAAAGAGTACAATACTATGCGACAGAAGGCATTTCAAACTTTGCTTGAATATATTCCAGTAAACCTAAATTGCTCCTTTCTTACAATCAAACTCAGAAACACCCCAATGGGCAATGCTAAGCACATTAGCAACAATATTCTAGAAGCATTTCAAGATGTCAGCCAGGTTGTATCAATTAAACCTCTGTTCTATGAAGGCACTACAGTATGCTTAGATCAGTGGTTGGTGATCTTCGAAACTATAGATGACTCAGACCTAACAAGCAGAATTTCCAGAAGCACACATATTGATAACCATAAAGTTACAACAGAATGGAAAGAAGCTCCAAAAGTCTGCTTCTTTTGTGAAAAAGAAAGACACTTTAAAAGAGACTGTAAAGAGCTAAAAGAATCAATAGAAGCAAGACAAAGACTAAAAGAAGCAAGGGAGCAAAGAGAAAGAGCCAAACTTCAAAAAACTGTACAGGATGAAATAACTATAAGCCCAAACAACCCCTATATGGAGGGACCAAAAGAAAAGGTTGCTCAAGAACTAACAAAATTAGAACCAACTTTCAGTGCAAACAATCTATATGCTAAAAAACCAAAAGAAAATACATAAGCAAATAAGGAACAAAATGAATTAATGCCAATTTCTGAACACCTCTTAGACACAAAAGAAGAAATGTCAATGGAATCAGAAACTGAGCAGCCAAACAACTTCACAAAGGAAGATGAAACTTCAAACACCAATTGGAAAACAGAAGCACTTAACAGCACAACAGCTCATTACCCACTTGAAAAAGGTCTCAAAGAATCTCCATTTACAACAGTTACTTATAGAAAGCAAAAGAAAAACAAAAAGGAACAAACAAGAAAAGGATACCCTTACAAGAGGGCAATAGGCTTGCAAAGCCAATTGCCAGTCAGAAATTGATCTTAAGGCACTCAAGCCTGATGTAGCACCTATCTTTAACATATAATATAATGATCAAAATCGCTACACTAAATGTTAAAGGCCTAAACAATAGGTTCAAAGCACAAAAAACACTTACACTTATAAAATCATATCTCTTAAACTGTTTTTCAGGCAAATTTGCCTGGAATTTTAAATTAAATTTAGTATTTTTTAAATAATACAATAAATTATTAATAATATGGGGTACAGTTTA